CAGATAATTAATGATTTATTCTGTTGATTAAAACTAATGTAGAATGTTATTATGAGATAAGAATGTCCAATTTGATAAAAATATCATGGCCCTCTTTGCAATTTATTAACTATTTCTCATTTATTATTAAAATAAACAAATCATAAATAATACATTGCAATTACTGTCAAAAGAGATTGCAACAAACTTTAAAATCCAGTGATTTTTTGTAAAAATTTTTAGTGACATTACCATTAAACAACTCTTACCAAAGTTGTTTATACCTCATATCAAAGTTGTTTACATTACCTTTTCAAAATTGTATTACATATTGCAATTATGTATTTTATGTAGTATTATTTCTGAAATGAGGGTAGTCTAAAATTATTTATATCCATCTGTTATAAAAATTGTTAAGATCTCTTAATATTATTTAACTACATGGAAACTCAACTTTCCAAATACATAATAACATGTCTTGAAGTAAAACTTTAATTATTTTCTTTTTCTAACGGCTCTATTTAGTGAGCACTAGGAAAGAAAGGCACATTGCAACCTGCTTTTCATAATTTTTTTATAGATGGGTGAGCAATCTATAATATGTATCATTGGACATCTCATAAACGTCAGTGGATGAATGACATTTCGACTAACATAAAGCTAAAAAGATTTATTATTATTATCAATCTTTTTTATTAATTTACATTTTTTAAATGTTATTGTAATACTTTTAAATTCAGTGTTACTAAATACCGATATTTTGACATTGGATACACTTGTTTAAGGTACAACTTTACAATTTATTGTCACTTAGCCATTTAAATCTTTTTGCTTAAAATGTATATACTTGTCCAGATTTTAATAATGTTTCACATTTTACGTCATTTTGACCATGTACACGATTATTTGGTACGGACCAGTATCTATTTTTAACTATATTTAATATTTTAAAAAATATCCTTTATTATTTACTTGCAATGTTTACCCCATTTAATTCTAAAATTAAATACTAGAGAGGGCTAACTTCGGCAGTAGTGCTGCCGCTATATTAGTTTTGCATAGATCAAGATTTGGATTTCCTGAAATGCCATTGCCATCTAATGTAAAACTTTGTTTCCACTGCAATTTCCAATGGTGTAATTCAACCCCGTTTTTTTGAAAATCGTATTACCATTCCTTCTTTTATTATTATGGAAGGAAAGAAAATTGCCCTGTGGTTTTCAAAAATGAAAGTTTACTCGGCCAATATTTTAAGAACAAGATATAGTCACGAAAATAATTTTGAAGATACAGAATTTAAAAGTCTTGTGTCTCTCTCGAAGGGACAATTTAGAGAATTATATACATATTGTGATCCCGTTATTTGTGGAAATCATAGAAAGATAAAGAAGAGATGAGATTTATTTGCCTTTTTAATAAAATTACATCAAGGTATGTCGGATGTGTTCATTGCGTCCATGTTTAGTTACTCTTCAAGACAAAATGTCAGTAACAAAATATTATTTGTCACGATTAGTTTAATCACAAGATTTGTACCAGAAAATATTGGTGTCCAGTGTGACGATGATAGAAATCGCGAAATTTTTATCCAAAGAACTGAATGAATTTTCTATTATTTTGTATAATGCCAATCCAGAAATTCCTCAAGTAATTTTGTATCCAGACTGTACTTTAAAAATACCAAAATGTTCCAATTTCAGAATACAGAGGCAATCATTTTCAATCCATAAAAATATAATTTAGTTAAAGCTGGACTTGTTGTAGCATCTGACGAGTTTATTGTTTTAGTGATTCGCATAACAATGACGCATCAATTTTGGTTAACGACATGCAGCAAGATATAAACAATTTACGAGGTTAGGTCAACGAAGGAGACATATTTGTTGTAGATCGGGAATATAGTGATGCAGTGATATTTCCGAGGTCAGCGGCAATTCACGGTAGAAGAGACGAATAGGCCACTACAAAAAACGAGATGGATTGTGGAATCTAGAAATGGCCATCTAAAAAATATCTTTGAATGTTTTAAAAATACAATTCCATTGGATCATTGTGTGCACTGCACTTGAAAGATCTTTTAAAAATTGGGTGTGCACTAATTAACAGGTATCACCAAGCAATCACCATACCAGATGTTATGCCTGAGTTGTCAAGAAGACTTGTACAAATTGCCGCAGAAAATTTTGTAATTACAATAGGGTGCAAGCACGTGTAGAACGTGATAATTTGCTTCGTAGAAGGGGAGTGTGGTTAGTTCTAGACCAAAATAATTTTGAATTCTCAAGACTATCTTACATCAAGCAGGGTCGAAAACAATGAATTTGTTTTTCAGTGTGTGAACCTACATCATTGCGGTGTCGAATATTTACGAATAATGTGAAGCACATGTTAACATATTATTTATAGAGTATAATGAAATTCAAGAGGATCCCGTAACTAAATATTACTGTGTGTGGTGTGTGTGTATGTGTACGTGTGTGTGTGTGGTGTGTATGTGTACGTGTGTGTGTACGTGTGTGTGTGTGTGCGTGTGCGAGTGCGTGTGCGTGGGTGTGTGTACGTGTGGGTGTGTGTGCGTGTGGGTGTGTGTGCGTGTGGGTGTGTGTGCGTGTGGGTGGGTGTGTATGTGTGTGTGTATATGTGTGTGTGTATATGTGTGTGTGTATGTGTGTGTGTGTGTGTGTGTGTGTGTGTGTGTGTGTGTGTGTGTATGTGTGTGCGTGCGTGCGTGTGTGTGTGCTCATATTTCTAATGTTTTGTGGTACTTAGAATACGTATGATACGAAAATAATATAAAGTACCCTTCAAATGTTCTATTAAAAACTATTTTAGATGATGCTGAACAAATAAGCGATCAGATATAATGTTCTAATTATGATAATAGATGAAAATTCACCTTATATAAATAACTACTATTCCTAATTTTTTGAACGCTCTGTGTTTTATTTTACAAAGTGCCAATAGGCATTAACAAACTATATACAAGTGTAAGAGGTACCATAAGTTTCATGGAAAAAAGATGAATTACTTAAGAGAGGTAAGATATATATGAAAATATTAATTCTGTAGTTCATACTTTTGACTCCTTCTAACAACTCACCCTGTAGAACTGCAAACTTGAGGTCCATAAGAAAGTTACCTGAAATATAACATACTAAAATTTGAACAAATTCCGTCAGTACCCAAAATCAATGGGCGCGTTCAGCCGACGCAACAGATACTCAACTGTCTTCTGAACGTCACTTGTTGAGTTTTGATTAGTTGAAACCGTTGCCCAACATCGGCACCAGGTAAATTTTATGGTGCCTTTCGTAAACGGAAGTATTGTACTCAGTGTTGCAAACTAAAGAAATTTTTAATTTAGAGATTTCTAGTGTTTTTTTATTGATTTTTAACCACTCTAGGAGGATAAAGCTGATTAAATGTGATTATAACCGCAGATTTCTTAACATTGAACATGAATTTTGTAGTTTTTTAAATTCTAAAGTTAAACTATGATGAAAAATGTCCGTTATGACTATGACTTATATGAGTATATTTTTACATGATCTTAATTTGTAACCGAAAATGATTTTATTTATATTGTCAGAAGTTAAAAAAATTAACTTCAAAATTATTGTTTTTAAATGATTTATCACCCTGTATACTATAACACCCTGTATAGCCACTTCATAAAACACGTGTTAACATGGCTTAATAAAAAGTTTTATTAAATATCTGGTAATCAATGTTTGAAATGTAATTAATTATGGAACAAAATAAATGTCTTTTAAAGGGCATAAGGCCTATCACTTCATCGCGTTCGGCTGGTCGAAAGTCAAGTCCCCGCTCTCTCCTGGTCCTGGACACTGCAACCGGCAGACGTGGTACCGTCAACCCCAGTGGCGGCGATATCTTAATTCGCTGACTCTAAAAATATAACCACAGAGGTCACAACGTGTATGTGTATTGTCTAGCCGCTGAACCAACTTATACCATTCAGGTACTTTTAATTGTTGACTTTCACCATATCAGAAACATGTTTTCGGTTTTAATCAACTGTTGCGTCGGCTGAACGCGCCCAATGTAAAAAGTACGTGCTCCTTTCCTCCAGAGGGCGTATGACTTAGCTTGAATCACGAATAGGCTTTTTTGTAGGATTCATGTACCCAAATATTAAACCCAGATCTTAGTTCTTTTTTCTGCCACTGGCTGCGCAAATATTCAGGACGTACCGAAAGGCAAGTGAGAATTTAGGAAAAGTGGCTTTATTCAAAGCACCGAAAGTGAGTAACCTCTAAATAATATTAAAAATTTGTTTTTAACAAATGCTTGATTAATAAATTTGTTTAATTTTCAATTAATAATTAATTAAACGAGTACTTCTTCAAAAGTGGCGCGCCCTACCGGCAAAAAGTCTGTCTCCCAAATTGATGCCATTCATTCAACATTACGTTCGGACTCCTTGTATCTCCTTTTATAATGAGCGATACTTTTTATAGGTATATATGGATGGCTATACGAGACGTACTTACTATGTTGCTTCTGTATTGCGACGTTGCCATATCTACATAAGTTAACAGAATTTCCTAAGGAAGAAAAAACATGGAATGTGTGCTAGTGTCGTATCCTCTACTGTGGATATATGTAATTGACAAAGTTTAAATTTTTGGTATGAGTGTTTAAATGCAGGCCAAGTTTTATTTAAACATATATCATGCACTATTTTATAATTAATTACAAAATTTCTGTATTTAAAATTTATAAAAAAAAAACAAAATGTATATTTTGTAGCGAATACTGAAAATTAAAATTTTATTTTAACACCGAAAATAATAAACAAAAACTAACTTTTTTTGGGTATTTATTCCATAGGAACTTGTAATTACAACACTCGTCTTGGAATATATTGCACAAATTACATAATAATAATAATGGTGTTTACTAAGTTTATTTATAAAATTTACATTGAATTTTACATGCACTTTACAATATATATCTGGTTTCACATAAAAAGGAATTCCTCTATATTGTAATAATTGTCTCGTCTACTAGTTAACAAACAAAAATGATGTATACGAAAAGTTCTTTTAATTAATGTATCACTCTTGTATATCAATATTTCAATATCTTCCCAACTGTCAACTATTTAAATACGACAAATGTCAAATATCAACGTCACTTATCAAATGTCACCGTTGCCTGTCAGATGTCAACGTCACTTGTCAACTCACAGGAGAAGTTATACTAGACATACAAAACGGTCATAAATTACTTTTAAAAAATCCTTTTATGACACGTTCACTTAATTATTTATTAATCTAATTAAATAGTCCACATTGGAAAATAAAATCGTCATTCTATGACTAAAAACAATGGCACTTTGGAACTTTTCTAACACACCATTACACAAATAGATATTAATATGCAATAAAAGAAATTCATAATACGAATATAAAAGCAAAATATAGAAATTTCAGTGATGCTCTCAACTATTAAATTTGTTTTTTTTTTTTTAATAATAATAATACTTTAAATAATTTTATACGTCTAATGGTTGTTTAAACTCTTCTCGTAGGCGATGACATCGTCTAAGTTCACAATTTCGATTTGCGAAATGCCTTGGCCGGCGAAATTGGCAAACTTGACGTCTGAATTGTAGCTGGCAGATCTCTTGACAACTGAAACAAATAAAAATCTTTAGATCCTGTCAAGGTGAAAATGCTTTGTTCTAAAATGATTCACTGGTTACATTTGGCAATGATATAAACCAGTGGTTCTCAAACTTTTTTTGGTGACGGAACCTTTCATATCCTGCTTCCTCTTACTAACTTCTAACTTAAAAAAAAAAAAAAAAAAAAAAAAAAAAGGTCACTCCATTTTATAGCTATAATACTGCTTTTTTATTATGACTATTATTTTCTTCGCGGAGCCCCACAAAGGCTTTGCGGAGCCCTAGGGCTCCGCGGACCACACTTTGAGTAACGCTGATATAGACCATGGTACTATTGGAACAATTGTTTGGTGCTCAAAGTAAACAAAGAAACTATCCTCATATTGTTTGTGATACATGGGGAGGCAAGATGAGGTGCTTACAGAGTAGAGAACACTCTAGGAAATCTTAATATTAGACCAGGTCATATAAGTATTACAAGGTTAGTGACTGGAGACGTGATAGACATAAATATAGATCACATAAGCAAACATTACTTTTTTAATACTCCATTCACACTCCATTCAAGATTTTAATGCCAGACAGAATAGATATTACCATAAGGTAACCAAATGCCCAACGACAGGAACACACACACAGACGGGTCTAAGACTGTGAAAAGCGCAGAGGCTAGAGTATTCTCCAGAAACTTTAATACCAACCTTAGCTATACAATAGGAAAACAGACTTAAGTATTTTAGGCTGAGGATTAAGCAATCTTGCAGTCTGGAAGAACAAACAATAAGAGATGAGCAAAGGAAATTGTGTGTGTATGTATTTCTATTTGGTACTGGTTTCAAAACAAAACCAACTGGCCAGTCAATCTTTAATTAATTTTAATAAAGTTTATTTTGTGTTAATTCAATTTTAAGTTCTATCCTTACAATATTTCACAGTTCACATTTTATTTAAGGAGGTCCTTTCGCCACTAATGTTAAATAAAAAATATTAGATTATGACTAAAATTAATTTTTTTCTAATAGTAGATGTCCTTATTTATCTAATAGTGAACTTTTAACTATACCTTACCGTGCAAATTTTTGAGAATTTTTTTTTTAAAATGTGTGTGTTTGTACAGTGTCTTATGAGAAAGTAAGACTTCAACAATTTTCGAATTATAATTAATTTTACTATTATTTATTGATTAGATGGAGTAGAAAAAAACTAAAAATAAGGGTTTTGAAATATTTAGGTTTTGTTTTTTACAATAAAATATATAGGTTACCGTGGAATTTATTGAGAAATTATTATTAAAAAATTACAAACTAGGTTACTTGAAAATTTTTTGTGATTTTTTAAATATTAATTTCTCAATAAGTTCCACGGTTTACTATATATATTTTATTGTATAAAACAAAATCTAAATATTTCAAAAACCTTATTTTTAGCTTTTTTCTACTCCATCTAATCAATAAATAATAGTATAATTCGAGAATTGTTGTTGAGGACTTACTTTCTCGTGAGGCACTGTACAAATACTCACATTTAAAAAAAAAATTCTCAAAAATTTGCAAGGTAAGGTATAAGTTCAGTATTAGATAAATAAGGACTTCAACTATTAGAAAAAAATTAATTTTAGTCGTAATCTAATAACTTTTTTTAACATTGGAGGCGAGAGGTGTGGCGAAAGGACCTCCTTAAAAAATACAAATTTCTCTAAATACATTAATAACAAGTAAGTCCTATAAAAGATTTTTTCTAGCTCATGTTTTTTACTTGTTTTTGATTTTTTCGCCTGTCAGACAGCTAGGCGGCCCTTACGGCCATATAAGGATTTGAGACTCGATTGTTAAAAATGGACTAGCAAATAGTTTTGATTTTCTAATTGTTTTTATATTGTTGTTATTTTTTGTTCTATCACCATGTAAAAAAAAATAGAGAAAAGCTGTCAACATTTTCTTGAAAGTCTGAAGCCAGTTTTAAGGTATTTCCTGTGGTATTTCCAACCCTTAGGGCGACCATATTAGCCGCTGACTCCAGGTAGGAGTGCGTTCCATTGATAAAGGCACTGGAAGTACAATGAACATCCTTTGAGAGGGTCTATGAGGAAACACTGTTAGTTAATACAGCTTCAGTTCATGACAATCTGCAGGTGCTGCAGCAGAAGATAGGAATTCTTATGGATATAGATAGACAGTTATTGGAGATGTCGGAGTCGGATATGGATGATAATAATAATGTTTATAATGTTTATTTAGTTAAAGAACATTACAATAATTATATAAGACAGTATAGACAAAAAAAAATACATTTAACTAAACAAACCTAAATGATATAATGACAGTAAACTTACTACAAAGGGTATATATATAATGTACATATAATATAAAATAATACAAATTTTTTGATCCGTGCAACCCATTAGGACCTTCAAGGTTGAGCATGGGGTACACTGACCAGTAAAAAAGGTTTACACTTCGTACACATATTTTTTTCTTATTTTTTTTTTTTTACTTTTTACTTTTTTTTGTTAGATACATATTATTATTCTTAGATTTCAAGAATTTTTTCAATGTCATCGACCTCTAATGATTTTATGTATCTTTTAAAAATAGTTTTTAGAGATGATATTGAGGTAATTTTCTTAAATACGTTTTATATATTTCTGGGAGAAAGTTAAATAATCGTGATGCTAAAAATTGGAAATACCTAGTTCCTATTGTTTTTTTAGCTGTTTTTGTTTGTACAAAATCTTTAGACTTATTTCTTGTTTGATAATGATGGTCAAGTGTTTTTAAGTCAGCACGGTTTTTAAAAAGGTAAATTACCAAACTAAAAATATACAGTTGTCTCAAACTCATTACATTTACTTCTTTAAATAGGAGCTCTGTTCGAGTGGCTTCGGTTATTAATTTGGTAATATATCCGTGACGTCATAAATTAGCTGTTTTCCGTCAAAGTTATAACCAAAATTTTGCGGTATTAACCTTCTTCCAGAGCTGTTTTTGATTATTGGTTATAGGTAATTCACAGTTACAACGGAAGTGAGTGTTTTGTAACGACTAGTACTGTACAAATTAGGGGTGAGATTACAGAACGTCTGCAACTTTGCAGATCTACAAATATGGCGAACAGATGCAAGTTTTCGTATTCCAAAAAATATCTGCAAATATCAGTTGCAGTTGCAAAAGAGAAACATTACAGAAACGTGTATTCACTTTTTGCGTTTGCAAATCGTCTGTAACTTTGCAGGAAGTTAGAACATCCTACAAACTTGCAGATTGTCAATTTTTGTCATGTTTTCTGTTTCTTTTAATTGAAAACAGTTCGTGTTGTCAGATTATCGAGTTTTTAAACATAGTAATGGATTTGGGTTTAGTGTTGTTGGGGGTTATAAACCACTATAAATATTGTAAATATGCAGATATTTTTTGGAATACGAAAACTTGCATCTGCTAGACCGTCATATTTGCAGATCTGCAAAGTTGCCGCCATATTTGCTGATTTGCAAAGTTGCAGACGTTTTGTAATCTCACCCTAGGTATACTAAACCCGATTTTGTGCCTTTTTAAACATTAAAATCGTATTCAAAAATGGTAGAAGATTATTTGATGAGTAAAAATTGCAAAGGGAAAGACTTCAGAGACTAATTTCTTCTTGGGATCTTATTATTTCTTGTAGGACAATAAACAATATAGTTTAAATAAAAATCTATATCGCTTATTCATAAACACGGCGAAAAAGATAGGTTAAATTGAATTGACATTTGAAAATAAACAAACTTACAACCACGGTTATTACCACATCGTTTAAGCGATTGCCACTTGTGACGTCAGTATACTAACGCCTTCAATAAATTACGCTTAAAATTGCTTCATAATACGCTAGTTCGGTGCTACCTACAGAATTGGTAAGACACCTGGAGTGGCACTCCGTATCAAATTGCAATGAAGAGAACGAAAGAGAAAGGGAAGAGAAAAAATCTCCTCTCTTTTTTTCTAACGAACTACTCGTCCTAAAACTGTTGGCTTCACTTCTATTTGACACATTAAATAAAAAGAGAAAGCCAATTTTTTACATAAATTTGGATTTGTTTTGAACGTGGAATTTCTTAAAATAGTATTACGCCATTGATTATTCTGGATCAAAGTTCATTTTCGACTGCTTTTTAATATTTTTATTTACCACTAATTCAAAGCAAACCCTGTGTTCAAAGGTAAGTGGAGAAAATAAAAGTGATTTCAGATTATACCAGTAATTTGACTTTTTATTTAATGAAAACAAGTTTATAATTTATGTAATTTGTGTATAATAGTTATATTTTAACTTTAAGATGAATCCTGTCATAAGACATGTGATGCAAGAAGCCCAAAATGATCAACAAAAATATGAACTATGCATTGCTAAAAAGGTAATGAGGGATGCAAGTGATCCAGTCGGCCTTCCTGTTGTTTGATTCAAAGAATTATTTAGATTAAATAAAGATTTAGTTCAGAATTTGTTTACTGATTAATTACAAACTGACAATCCACATAAAAATAAAGTAAACTTAAAATGCCAAAACGAAAGTGCCAAATCAAATTCTTAATATAAACAAAGAAAGAGTTATACCTCTTCCATATATTAAAGCGAGTCATATTCTTAAGCGACGAGGTCTTAGCGATCTCTTTCCCAGGGACAATCGTACATGTTCGGTTTAATCGTAAGTAGTCGAAGAGAGTTACAGAGTAGAAAAACGTCAAAAGAAGTCGAGATAGAGAAAAGATCTCTTGCCTTTCTCATATTTCTAGTTACGGAGTGCCGCTCCTGACAGTAATTGTATATACTGTAACGAGGAGAATACGGTGGAACACACATTTTTCAAAAGCAACAGATGGGCAAGATACAGACGGATAATAGAATTATCACTCGAAGCTGAAATAACCCCGGAAAATATTATGTCCAAACTTATGCCGATAAAACGAAACGGGTTGAAGGAACAAGAGAAATATTAGAGATTATGAAGTATAAAGAGAAAGAGGAAATAGA